ACCCCACCCCGCCCTTTCGCAGTAAAACTCTCACCTCACACAGCAGCCTCCGACTCCTCTGCTTTTGTGCCGACTGCTTTGCCTCCCTCCCCGTGGGCAGGCAGGGCCCCCTCCTCCCCTGAGCTATGGCCACGGGAGGGGGAGAGAGAAGGATCAGACCCCTCCCCTGGCCAGCTCCCCCCCCCATCCTCTCTTTCAGAATGGAAGGTTGTGCCCAAGCGTCTCAAATGCGGAGGAAAAGTAAAGCCAGCTCGTGACTGGGCTCCTCCGGCCGATTCAGAGAGCCTCGACCTGTGATGGAACCGAGGCCAGGCAGACGACAAGGAAGGCGGGCAAAGGTTACGGATGCCCTGCCTGCCCTGACAGCACATCTGCCTCGCTGAACCTCCTCTTCCGGGGTGGGGGAGAAGGAAGGGCTCTTCCTATGGGGCCACGGACGAAGGGGAGAGCCAGGGAGAAACGCTCTGACACTCGGGAAAGCGGAGCCGAGACCAAGAACCAGGAGGGAGGCCCCCTCCCCGGCGCCCTTCATGGCCAAGTGGATAAAACGTGCCAGAGTTAGTGCTTCTGGAGCGGCATCTCTAACATCGAATTGTTGGCCACGGGGTGACCAATTGGTTGGGCCCCTTTTTACCCGGTGCGAGAGAGGGCCACATGACACACAGAGCAGGGGGAGGCTTGCCCGCTTTGTTTCTGTACAGAAGCAAAGGGGCGCCCTCGGGACCAAAATCCAAATCGAGCGCGCAAAGGGGCGCCGTCCAGAGCTTTCTATACATTTCACTAAGCGGGTTACGTTCACCACAATTCTCATTGGCTAAAACACCTCCATGGGTGAATTACATCATGCACATGCGTACTACAACTGTGTACCCCATAATAAGCCATGAGGGGGGCTCAGTAGCATCTCATGTTTACTCCCAGGGGAGCGTTTTTTACTATTGTAATGAGGCAAAGGGTACTACAGTTCAACTTTTAACTAGTCACATATGAAATCCAGCCAGAACAAGCCGAGTGACGCAAGAAATCCCGAACACACAGACACAAACCGCTCCCCGTACGCCAACAGCCCGTCGGGCCCACAAAATGAACAGCAGGTTGAAGGCCTTTCCCCCAGCGTCTTCTGGTCCAGCCCTCCTGGAGGCAACAGGGCCACTCTGTCTTGCGGTTACCTATGAAGCCCCCTGGGGCAGAGGGCCTGGATACCCGAGAGCCGTTGGTCCCGTCGTTTCTGCCCACCCGGGACGCTCACGGCCCTGCCCAGTGCGTGCACTCCAGTCCCCTCCATTAAGCACTGCCATCTGGGGGGACCTAGAAGCCTGCCTGCTCTGTGGGGGCCCCACCCTCTGGAACAGCGTCCCCCCCAGAGAGAAGGATGGCGCCCTCTCGCCCGGGGTTACGGGAAGCTTTGAAAACCTGGCTTTGGTCCCAGGCCTGGGGTTGAGGCTCATGAGCTGTTCAATGGCCCGTTTTGTTTTGTTGACTTCCTATCTATTAAATTTGAGCGGTTTGGCGTAGCGGTGAAGGCATCCGGCCAGAAACCGGGGGACCCTGAGTTCTAGTCCCGCCTGGACACAAAGCCAGCTGGGGGACCTTGGGCCAGTCCCCCTCTCTCAGCCCCAGGAAGGAGGAGGAGGAGGAGGAGGAGGCGGCCAGGGCAAACCCCTTCTGAAAAACCTTCCCAAGAAAGCTGCAGGGGCCTGTCCAGGCAGTCTCTGAGAATCAGACACAATTGAATGGATTAAACAAACAAATAAAAGATTATTTTAGTCTGGGCTCTCTGTTTGATTTAATGTTGTTAGCTGTTTTTATGTTTTCTCTAGTTTTGTACACCACCCAGAGTCCACTGGAGCTGGACAGCCAATAAATTTAAACAAATAAGTAAACGTCCGCCCAAGAATGGTTGGAGGACTCTAGAAGAGGCTGTCTCGAGGGGGTGCTGCCAAGAGGGCCCCCTTCTGCCAAACTCTGAGCCTGTCTCCGTTACAGGGACCCCTGGGAGGCAGTGCAGGGCCAGTTCGTCCGTCCTCGGGACTCATCAGACGTGGGTAGCCAGGGGTTATTCTGTGGGGCTTCGACCCTTGACTGGGAACCGAAGCACGGGCACTCGCCCTTCGCGGGACGGTACGCAGGAGCTACCCTGGGCCTGGCGCTCAGCGCTGCTGCAGAAAGGGGTTCCCAGAGCCCCTCGTCTGCCGCTCAAAGCAGGGAACGGAGGAAAGGGCCACGCTGGCCCACCCCAGGCCCAGCATAAAAAGCAGAGAGACTGATTTCTCCAGCCCATTCCCAACCCTCCCCCCGGGTCTCTCCAGGGGAAGCTCTGGGAA